CATATTGGATGATACATTGGTTACTACCGACAATGACAATCTTCTTACCTGCTTATTAGCTTGCTCTTTCTCTAGAACTAGCGGCAGAGGCAGACCAAATTGGGTCGCTCTCTAGCCACCTGATATTATGTATTTCAACACTATTAGACTTTTTATTATTAGACTTTTATTTAAGTATCTAATGTATTTTTTGTTTTTTCTTCTAGTTTTGGAACTATTTATGATTTTTGTGTGGACAGGGTGGCATGCTTGGGCTCTCCCACATATTGTATCTGTAAGCTTTTAAATATATATATATATATATAAATATATATATATATGTATAACATTCTTATTAAATATCTTATCATCGCTCGGCCGAGCCCAAACCACGCGAGAAGAAACTTTTTGCAACATCTGTCTTGCACAAGAGCTCAGCTTTGACTCTCTCTCGCATGAACGCACGAACTCCACACGTCTAGTTATTGTCTTCCGCACGATGCTTCTTTCTCGTCTTCTTAGATGGTGGGCACGAGAGATTCTACTTTGCCTCCGCATAAAGCTTCTCTCCTTATGCTCGACTGCTCGGGATTGGGCATTTGCACTCGCATTCTCCTTCTCTGCTCTCAGATTGCACGCACAAGAGCTCTGGTCGAAGTCATGACTCAACTTAGTATTGTGCCCGCTGTTCGACTCTCAGGTAAGCCTTTTCTCTCCTTTTTGTACTTCCCACACGATAATTTATACATGAAAATACCATTCTGTGTTCCGGACCCTCTCGCTTGACTTATCACCCTCTTTGGCTTCCCGACTCCTCATTTCGATTCTCACGGTTCTTTGATTTTTCTCTCGATAAATGAAACAGAACTGTACAGTGATGCTGCTTGATCTTAGTCAATCCATAACTGCTCTAATTTTGGTAGGATTAATATAAACTTTTGTTCTAGTGATAGTGTTAAAAAAAAAAACTCTCTTATAGCTAACTCTCTCGTTTAAATTATTCTCCTAAAGAATTTTAATGTTGCTATGAGATGTTGAGCATGCTCTTCTTCACTTTTCAAATAGATCAAGATATCATCAATAAATACAATAACAATGCTTCTAAATAAGATTTACAAACTAGTTATGTAAACTTTGAGTATGCTCTTATTGTTAGCATTAATGTTTTAGTTATGAAAACATTGACTAAAGAGTGTATCAACTAGACAACAATTGCTATATATTATAGAAATTTAAAAATTCATGCATTAGATACATTTTTTTTAATATTAATGAATACAATGCTAGGATGTTCTCTAATAGTTCAGCTCTTTGAGTTGTTAATGATAAGGGTGCGCTTGATCCTACGCAAATATCTTTGTTAGCTAAGATTTTCTTAAATTTGTCCTCTTGGATAAACATCCATCCCATGTCTATAAGATTCTTTTGGATGATTCAATCCACTCCTAATAAAGATCTTTAAGTCAGGTTGCATCAATTACATCCTTTAACTAAATAGATCAGGGTGCACAACAATCCAAAATGATGGAATTATATGATATTGATCGGGTTTTTCATCATTTGCGTAAAGTTATAGATGGTGAATTTCTGCAATCTAAAATCAAACTATTGTTATTATATGTTAAGTATTTAGTGCCTAATGACTAGCCTTAATCGATAGTTTTCTATAGTTGACAAGAATAATAAACTTAAAAATATAATATAAAGTCCTTACAAATTGAGATTGAATTTTTTGGGTTTTATTTTATCAGCAAATCTAATTTGTTCTTCAAAAATTTCTCTTGGGATAACACGAGTTCTCTTAGAAGCGACCAGCATGATTTTTTTGTAGCTTACAAATTTTTGGCAACCATGTTGGTGAATGCTTCTCTTTTAGGGTCCCTTTGGGGCGGCTTATTTGGTGCAGTGGCGTTTTGAAAACGCACCTGGCCTGTTTGGGTAAACTGCGTTTTGGCAGCTTATGCGTTTTCAAAATGCCGAAACCAGCATTTTCACAACACACCTATCTAGGTGCGGTTGCAACTTTCTGGCAGCGGCCTGACTTTTCCAAAAAAATAAAAATTTGTAATAGTCATCGCATCTAACTTATCAGCAGATTATTTTTAGGGCCCGTTTGGGGCAGCTTATAAGTGCGGCGGCGTTTTGAAAACACCGCCTATGTGTTTGTTTTGCATTATTTGAAAACTGCATTTAATTTTTTCTATTACACGCAGATCGCGGCGTTATACCCGCGATTCGCGTTTTCGTGTCTCGTCTTACGCGTCTACCCCTCTCTCACGAACTTTCGCTCTCTGGCTACTCCGCCGCTTACCGCCGGCCACCCTTCACTTTGCCGTCGTCCACCTCGACTCGCCGCCGGCCACCCTTCACCGTCGTCCACCTTGACTCTCCGTGGAGTTAGATTCGTCTCTTCCATCTTCAACTACCCTGATTTCTCGATCTCTACCTGTAATTGGCTTTCTCAGTGCAGAGAAAGGAGAAGGGGATCTATCCCCACCCTTTAACATTGCTAATTTCTCGATCTCTGTAAGGAGATGGAGACGGCATTGAATAAGATCGAGAGAGATCATCGGATGTACCGGGAATTAAAGCATCGAGATGCTCTTGAGCTTTATACGGAGGCGCTAGGGATGGCGAAGAACAAATCTCAAAAGATCGTGCTGCATAGCAACCGGGCTGTTTGCTATCTTAAACTCCGTGACTTCAAGAAGGTTTTCACAGTACCTCTTTTATTTTTTTTTTCTGGTTTTGTAGGTTATCTTGAGCTGTTAATGGGAAAAGCGGTTCGTTTTGAACCATTGTTTGGCTTAAATGTTGATTTTTTTTAAAAGAAAGGTAAGGAAAATTTCTGTTTTACATTCTTTAGCTTCAATGGCAGGAAGCTAACTACTGCAATAACATTTTGCAGTTATACATAGCAATTGAAGAATTGCAATTTACAAATCAAGTACCCTCTTTCATTCGATTTTTTAAATTCTCACACAAATATCAAAGTTCATGATAAAACCCAAACTCATTTTTTTTTTTTTTATCAAATTCTCAGTGGTACATGTAAATGTATCAGTTTGTGTGTTCAAAAAATCAGCTGAGGGCTAGTTTTGTAAATAACAATGTTTTGAAGGTTGTGTATGTAACTATCCCTAATATTTATTAGATGTGTTGGGTGCTTGAGATTCTTGGAGGAATTGATGGAATTTGAGAACATTCTCTGTTGTGTCTTAGAACTTTTCAAATACTGCATAATAGATGAGAGAAAAATGTGTTAAAGACTTCCATAATTTTTGTAGAATATTAGTGTAACATTGTTTCACCCCAGAGGAATTGGTGGAACTTTAGTACAAGATACCTATTTTGTGATTAAAAAAAAAGTGATGCTAATGGCGCTAACATAGGTCATTTCACTAGGCAGTTGTAGATGTAATGAATTTTACCACTGCATATTAGACAACATGAAAAAAAGTGTTTTTTTATTTATTTTTTTTGTTGATGAGTAGGGTAACTAAGGATGAGGAATTTCTTTTGAGCTCTTTCTTTTGTGAGAAAAACCTATCATCGTATTTAACATCACTTTATGCATTATTTGTTTCTATTATGATCAACTAATAGTGGAGATTGCACCCGCTAAGGCTAATCTAACCGCATCACTTTCTGCATTATTTGTTTATATTATGATTAACTAATAGTGGAGATTGCACCCTCTAAGGCTAATCTAACATCACTTTTTGCATTATTTGTTTCTATTATGATCAACTAATAGTGGAGATTGCACCCGCTAAGGCTAATCTAACCGCATCACTTTCTGCATTATTTGTTTATATTATGATTAACTAATAGTGGAGATTGCACCCTCTAAGGCTAATCTAACATCACTTTTTGCATTATTTGTTTCTATTATGATCAACTAATAGTGGAGATTGCACCCGCTAAGGCTAATCTAACCGCATCACTTTCTGCATTATTTGTTTATATTATGATTAACTAATAGTGGAGATTGCACCCTCTAAGGCTAATATTCAAATAAACTGTTTACAAAACACACTAACTAAACAGTTAAACAATTTATTCAGAACAGGGGCAAAATGATCAATTTTCCAGAATCAGCTGTTTTCCAGACGCACTAACCAAACAGCCAGACAGCTTATGTGAATCAGCTGGTCATCAACAGATTATCAGGATAAGCTGCTCATCAGCAGAAGCTGGATAAGCTGCAGCTGCCCCAAACAGACCCTTAATCAGCTTATCAACAGATTATTCAATAAGCTGCAGCTGCCCCAAACAGACCTTTAATCTTTAGATCATGATTGTACACAATAATGACAACAATAAAAGATAGAAATGATAAGCTAAATTTCTGTCATATATTTTAGTTACTCGAACTTAAGAGATAGCTCTACAAAATGAGAATCGGGGCATGATACTTGTGAAAGGTTTTACTAGAAAAAATAAGTCGTTCTAGTGCTTGATGCTTCATAAAAATCCTATCTATTATTGTACTCCAAAATAAGCTCACGCAAGCTCTCCAAGCTCATGCCTGCTAAAATTCCTTAGTTCTGCCATGGCTATTTTATCATTAAACTTTAAGCAAAGTGCTTTCTTCAGTTGTTTTTTCTTTTTTCTTTCTGAAAGCTCCATTCTCATAGGTATTTATCTGCAATTTATAATTTTATCAATTTAGCTGGTTTATGTTACTCTGACCTTACTTGCTATGAAATGGTGATATTTATGTTGTTTTGTTTTTTTTTTTTTTTTTTTGGAAAAGATATTTTTTTGCTGTTTTGTTCTCTCTTTATGCGATCTCTTGATGTTACTTCAAGCAAGTATTATCTTGCTGAACTTAAAAATTTTCTTTAAAAAAACGTTCTTTTATGGGCTTTTGCTTGTGCATTTATTTAATTTACAAAATTTTCAAAATTCCCCCCCTTTCTGTATAAAAGTGTTCAGTGTAGTTGATGGAATGCTTTAGTTGCTCCATTTTTAGCTTAGGAAGTTATATGTTTAGTTATGATTTTTTGGGTTATCAGGCCTTCTTTCATCCGGCAATAGAAATTATGGAAATGGAAGATACGCCAACAATGCTGAATTAAGAAGGCCCACGCAAACAATGAAAAATGGACCGGGAAGAAATCATTCTGTAGGTGGGAGGGCTGAGAATTCAAAAGGTTTTCTACCTAACAGTTTTGATCGTGTACTGCTCGATGCTCCATGTTCTGCCCTTGGCTTACGACCTCGTTTGTTTGCTGCCGATGTAATTCCTTATCTAAATATAATCTATTTTACAATTTACATGTTTTTTTTTTGTGAATTAACTTTATATTGTGGACCTTGGAAATTCAATTCCTGTTCTTATTGCCATCATATTCACACAAAGCTTTCAATAATTTGCACTCACTCTAGGATACTCTGAATTTCCATGATGACTTTCATAGTTATAAACTATCGAAATTGACAGATGAAATTATTTGGTGCTGAGAGCGAGCTTGTTTACAAAATGTAAAAAAAAAAGATATTTTTGCATTCTCTATTTTTGAAACCAAAATTTTAGTATTTAAAACTGATATGGTACATCATTTTCTACTACCAAGAACTATTAGAGAAAAAAGAAAAGTGTTCGTACAAGATCTAAATAAACAAGTAAAATTAATTTTATGAGTAAACTTCAAGATTTCAAGATTTGGGATGTTCATGAAGTAGCAGATTCTATGTGGAATAAAGTAACAAACATTATTAAACAAGCGACAAAAGTTGTATTTGGAGAATCAAAAAGAAATTTTCTATAAATAAAAATAGTTAGTGGTGGAATAATAATGTGCAAGAAAAGATAAAATATGAGAAGTTGTGTTATAAAAATTGGTTTAAATGTAAAAGCTTAGAGAACTGGAAAAAATATCAAACGACCCGCAGAGAGTTTATAAGTATAATCAGTGACGCTAAAAATTCTGCTTTTAGTGATATTTAAAATAGATCAGATACTAAGGAGGGAGAAAAATATAGGTATAAATTAGGCAAACAAAGAGAAAAGAAAAGTAAAAATTTAACTCAAGTTAAGTGTATTAAAGATGAAAAAAAAATGCTTTTCTTAGAAAAGATATTCAACATAGGTGGGTGAGTTATTTTGATAAACGTTTTGATGAAGTTTCTGAAAATACGATCGAACTTAGTGACCTTAATATCGTTAATAATAATAAAAAGTTCAATGTTTACCGTCACATTAGTTAAAAAGAAGTTGAGGGGACTTTAAAGAAAGCCAAGGGTGGAAAGTTTGTAGGACCTGATGATACCCCTATTGAAGTGTGGAAATATTTAAGTGATTTGGGAGTTTCTTGGCTTACTAATCTCTTTAATATTATTTTAAAAACTAAAAAAATGCTTGAGGAGTGGACGGAGACTATTTTGGTCTCCATTTTTAAGAATAAAGAGGATGCACAAGAGTGTGCAAGTTATAGAAGAATTAAGTTGATATGTCACACTTTAAAGTTATGGAAGAGGGTAGTTGAATATAGGTTAACACGTATTACAAAGATTTCTCATAACAAATTTAGATTTATGTCGGACAGGTCTACTATGGAAGTTATACATTTATTGAGAGGCTTGATGGAGAAGTTCAGAGATAATAAGGAGGATCAACATTTGATTTTTATTGATTTAGAAAAAAGCTAGCTTACAGGTTCCAAGAGAAAGGTTCCAAGAGATATCCTTTGGAGAGTTCTTAGAAAAGAAGTATTGATATGACTTATATTCAAATTATTAAATATATGTATACTAGAGCTGTTACTTATGTTCGAACTGAAGGAGGATTGACCAAATATATTTCTATTTCTGTTGGATTACATCTAGGATCGACTTTAAACCTATATCTTTTTGCTTTAATTATGGATGGTCTTACTAGACATTTACAGGAGGATGTACCTTGATGTATGCTTTTTGCCGATGATATCGATGATATCCTTCTCGTGGAAGAAAAAGCCCAGGAAAAAATTGAATTATGGAGATCTACATTGGAGTCTAAAGACCATCTACATTGGAGTCTACATTGGAGTCTAAAGACCTTCATTTGAGTAGAACTAAAACTGAATACATAGAATGTGATTTTAGTACTAGTAGTTCTAGTGACAGAAGTGTAACTTTGGGTGATCAATTTATTAAAAGGTGTGATCGTTTTAGATATTTCGGGTCTGTTGTTCAAAGTGATGGTGATATAGATAGGGATGTTAATAGTAGAATTCAAGTTGGTTGGTTGAAGTGGAGGAATGCTTCGAGCCTTTTGTGTGATAGAAAAGTACCGCTTAGACTGAAAGGAAAATTTTATAAGAGGGTGGTGAGACCTGCAATGCTCTATGGCGCTGAATGTTGGCCTTTAAAAGAGAAGCATAATACTAAGTTAAGTGTTGCCGAGATGAGAATGCTTAGGTGTATGAGTGGCTTTACACTTAGAGACAAAATGCGAAATAAATATATCCGTGATAAGGTTGGTGTAGCTCCAATAACAGACAAAATTATGGAGAGTCGTCTTAGATGGTTTTCTCAGATTAAACCTTGACAATCTAATGATCCAATTAGGAGAGTACTTAGGTTAAGAAAGGTGGAGGTATACCTTGAAAGACTTGGACATGCTGTATAAAATATGATCTTAATTTATTAGAATGGCTCTCAATATAACGCAATGGAGAAAAATGATTCATGCAGCGGATCTCACTTAGTGGGATAAATATTTGTTGTTGTTGTTGTTGTGTTTGTGCAACATACATATGACATGATAGCCCGTGAAATTAAATCTGCAGGAACGTAAACACAAAAGGCCTTTTTTGCATTTTCTTGCTTAATGTCCAGTCAAAATATAGATATTCAATTTTTTGCAATCCTGTAGTAAATAGAATTTAAAACCTCTTATTCATTAGCAAGTAAACACTCTTAGTACTCTCATCGAAATAATAAGACTCTAGAGAATCATGCCCATCACTATGTCAAGAAATTTGAGGGATGCAGGGCGTTGCTATAATAAGTGGATTAGGATTAATGGCGGTTTTTGAAGTGTGATGAAAATAGAGTTTAAATTATTGCTTATATACAAATGAAACAATGATTTTGCATGTTGTTGAAACAATTCTCCATATTTGAATTCTTGTAACACTCGATGACTGACCACCTTTCCTAGTCAAATTTAAGGCGTAACAATAGTGGGTATCATTTTAGTTATTGAAACTACTACCATCATCTATTTTGAAAATGTACTACTAGAATAGGGTAAGTGACATATTCATTTATGTAAACTACCCAAACTTATGATAACATTTCCTAACTAATAGCGATCAAGTAAATTTGCAAATCTCTAATGTATGGAAGCTTCTTTAAGTATTTTATTTTTTCATCTATAGAACCTCTACTAAACGTAAAAATTTTATCATATATATATGTATATATTGCACGATCATGCTTTATGATTTATATCAAAACATGTCATATTTGATTTAAAATATGATCCCTACTTAGACTTATTCATTACCTCTAATTTTATTTGAAGCAGCAAGCAGAGTAATACCTAGTATGCTGTAAAACTCAACAGAATAAACTCCTGAGACATTCATTGTGTTATTGGCTTTATCGGCTCTCTCTTATTTATAGAGAATTGAATTCATAATTTATTTTAATTAAATTTACCCGGAAATTTCTTTGTGTCGCATGCTCTGTTGATTCTATACTATATATAAAGGATTGAGCTGTAGTTAAACTCATCATTGTACCTTGAAAGTGTATTGAATCTGAGAATGTTCATTTTTAAATGATTTTTTTTTGTAAGATTCATTGAAGGTCGTATGTAAATAAAAATTAAAAAATAGTTTTGTAGGTTTCATAATTGAAAATTCAACTATAAATTACTTGACTAGAAAATATTCTTTTAATTGATATTGTGATAGTTCATCAAGAGTTGGAAGTATTGTCAACTCTAGCCTTATGTACCTGGATAATCGATCTTCTAAAGATGAGACTTGTTCTATAAGCAATACTACTTGCTTGAGAATATATATGTATATTGGCGAATATAATTTTTGAGCGAGAAGATTTGCACTTCAAAACTTTTTATTTTAAAAGGTGAACCCTCTTTGATTATAATGTGCAATGATCATGCTGCCTATCATATGGGCATTTGATTCATTTTTTTTTATCATTTAGGATCTTATCGACTTTGTTTAACTATAAAGGATTCGGTTTGTGATTTACATGTGATTTGAATTTTTCTAGAAATTAATCACATTATAGGCCTTTTCGATTCTATTGTTTGTTAACTTGAGGATTAGGCTATAGGTTGAAATTATTACGATCCGTGAGTGTCACTTAATTACATGAGGTTTTTTTAGGGTAATCATAGAGATATGCTTGACATAACATTATCTCTTTGTGAGCTTAGATGAATTTTAAATTTATAACCCCCAATAAATTGTTACTGAGTGTCTATGAATTTTGTTTTAAGCATAAGACAATATCTTTCACTTGAAGATTTGTTGATTTTATAATTTATTTAATTTTTTAGATTTTCATTGAGATTTAAGCCCAAAATGATTAACATTAGAATTTTAATGATAAGCCAATAAAGATCTTATCTAGTTAAGATTTTTTTTTTTTTTTTATACGTGATCAGTATCAGTGTATATCTAGTTAAGATTTTTTTTTTTTTTTTACGTGATCAGTATCAGTGTATTTGAATAATTTTATATTGTTAGTTTAAACCTTGTCGACTATTGCTTGTTTGCTGAGGATTGGGTATATAATTTCTATGTGATTTAAATTTATTTTAAATTTTATTATGTCTTAGACTTTGCCAACTCAATTTCAAATATAAAGAATAGTGTCTAGGGGTCAATGTTTGTGATTAGTTATGTAGGCATAACTTCGAATTTGTATGTTTTGGTATATGAATTTTCTTTGTGAGAGGCTTTGAAGACCATTTGTGAATGGAAGATAAAAATAATTTTGGAGGTTTACAACTCACCATAATTTTTTTTTATCAGAGGAGACTTACTTGATTAGTGCTGCATTAGTTCATCATAATATGGAAATCTTGTCTACTCCTGGAGACATGAAAGATTGGACTTCAAAAGATGGGAGCAAGATGATTTGCTCAAGAATGTGCGTGCATATTAATGAATTTTATTTTGAAAGAGAAAATATGCTATATATTTTGAATGTAAAAGTTAGAACCCCAGTCATTATCATTGTGATGATCATACCTATAGGAGTATTTGAATAACTTCATTATATTACTGTGGGCTTTATCGACTACGCTTGTTTTCTTGTCTACTCCTTGCATGGTCAAATGGTCCTCACACACTCGGGTGCACGGTGAGTATTGGCCTGTGCAAGGGATCGCTCTATGAAAGATTTCTTTTGAATTGATCACTCAACAACTAAAATCTTTAATCAATTGTTTATATACATACTTGGATATACTATTTTTTTTAAAATTTTTTTTAAAGAAAAATGTTATATCCAATATTTATTTACATGTTTGCAGTAATTAACAACTTCGACTTTCTAGACTTTTCTAAAAATCTAATTGTCTGTCTTATGAGTACTTTCTTCACTGTACATCTGGCTGAATCATATATGTTTATCAATTTTCTTTTCTAGTGTGGGTATGGTTCCTACACTTGCCTCTAATATTAATGTTCTGCCCCATTGCCAAACAGAAAAAGGTGTAAACATGAATACTAAATAGATAAGCATCATCATCATAATTTCATCAACCATTCATCTCGACTTATAGAAGATTATAAGAGTAGTTGTGGTTTTAGGATGTACACATCGAGATTTTAAAATGTAAGAGAGATTTTTAAACAACTACCATTGTGTAGATTCAAGTTCTTGATAAAAATATTATTCGAGAAGTGTCAAAATGGTCTGCTGACTCTTCGCAAAAGGGCCATTGTAGTCCCAAAATTTATACAGTTATCAAGTCAATTCCCAGACTATTTTAATATGGGAGTATTCTTTAGTGAGGACTAATTTATTCTCCATTAAAATAGTCCGAGAACTAATTTAACACTTATAAACTCTGGGATTAAATTGGTTCCATCTAAATAGTCATGGGACTATTTTGACACTTAACACAATTTTATTCATTTCTTTTTTCAAGTTCTTGATATGCTTGTGTTTTGTACTTATATACATCTAAAAAGTAGCAAGGAAAGAATGAAAAATTGTAAGATGGGCAGTATTGCACACACTTATCTAGAGTGATGATATGATGTGTTTAAAAAGCAGAATGAAGCCATCCTTTAAAACACTAGCGATACATGGGTTTCGTGCTCATATTTATGCATTTATGTTCTCTGGTCTAACTGAACACTAGTAATCATCTCTTTTGTTTCATGTAGGAGACGATAGAGTCCCTGCAAACTCACGCCAAGTATCAAAGAAGAATGTTTGATCAGGCTGTTCAATTAGTTCGTTCCGGAGGAGTCATTGTATATTCCACGTAAGTACTGGTTGGTTTTATTTTTGTAGGCCAGAGCCATGGACGTTATCTGAAATGTTTGATCTTTAGATGGGTTGCTAATTTATAAGTAGATGATTGACTTTGGCTAATGAGGAATTATTTGTTTTTTGGAAGTTTATTTATTTTTCTAATTTTTTTTTATCATATTGCTCCTGAATATTTATTCCAGAAATAATTTAGGACTAATCTTACTCTTCATTATTTTTTTCTTAGCCTGTATAGAATATACACTCCTACTTAGTTTACAAGCATCCCCCCAATTTGGGGGATTGAGAAGGTGATGATTTAGTCAATTTTATCTGTATATTTGCGGTCTATTTTTATTATTGAAAGTTTGATCACTATTAATTCTTATGTCATTACTCGGTTACAAGTTTTTTTGGTCGGTACTATGGTTGTTGAAAATAGGAGAAAAACTAGATAAAAGATATAAAACAATAAATTAAAAGTTTTTTTGTCCAACCATTGGGATATGGGGTTGTTGAATCCTTAACGAAAGAAATTATAATGCAAAAAAAAAAAAGAAAGAAGAAAAAAAGTTATAAAAGTTTGGGCTACAATTCGATATTTCAAAATTACATTTGATTTTAGCATAACCTTTCTTCCAAGACTTTTGGTCCTCTCTTCAAGCTGCCATTCAAAAAATCTAGTTCGTGTATAATAATTAGATGATTATTTTGATGAGATAAAAAAAAGGTTGGCAATGAGAAAATTCGCCTGTATTGGAGAAAAAAAAAATCTCAACAATGTTGTATATGCTTTGGTATTCATCATTCTGTTCATCATAACAAGCAAGAAGAAAAGAACCATACGCACCTTCTCAATTACAAGGAAAAACATGTTGATTTTTATTAGATACAACAACTACAACAACAATAACAACAACAAACCTTTATCTCATAAAGTGGTGTTGGCTATATGAATCCTTTTTCTCCATTGCATCATATTGAGTGTCATATTTTCATTTAAATCTAACATATTAAGATCATGTTTTATACAATATGCCCAATTTTTTAGGTCCAACTATGCTTTTCTTAATATAAGTGGAATCTAGAACATTTATTCTCCTAATAGGATCATAAGATCGTCAACGATTAATGTGACCAAATCATTTAAGACGACTCTCTCTAATGTTGTCTACCACTGCAGCAACACCAACCCTATCACATATATATTCATTTCACATTTTGTCTCTAAGTGTCAAGCCACTCATCCATCTAAGTATTCTCATCTCTATTCTCATCTCAACACTTAATTATTAGATAGCAAATCAATATTAGTTGTACATTTTATTTCTGACTTCGAAAGCTAGGAAGAGGAAATGCTAAGCTGGCAAATTCATTCAATAGAGAGTTAATTCAAAGTTCTGTGCAATTAAGTACATGTGTGCTTTCCATGACCATGGAAGGTAGCAATGGGTACTAGATCTAAAGTGTCTCCTACACTACATCAATTAATAAATTCGAAGGTGGAACAAACAAAAATAACTATTTAAATGAAAAAAACAACTAAAACTCAAAATAGGAGTTTGCATTCATTAATATGGTTCACAACAAAATTGGCCATCTGGAAACACATAAAAATTCAGCAACCAGTTTAAAACATGATTGCATGTCATTATTTAAGTTGCCCTCAACAAATAAAAATTCAACCTCTTCTGAGTCACACAAGGTCCTCATTTTCTTGATGTAAATTCATCCTAGACACACACACACACACACACACATATATATACATA